TGATCCATCACCGATTTGAACCACTCCCCCGAACTAAACTACCGTCGATCTTAACCACATCCGACATCAGCGACTACTACCGATCTGAATCACCTCCGCCGACCACCAACGATTTGAGAAACCACCAATCTAAACCACCACCGATCTGAACCACATCCGACCACTGCCACCTGAAGCACCATAAACCACCACCGATCTGAACCACTGTCGACTAACACCGATCTGAATCACGGCCGACCACCAACGGTTTGAACAACCACCGATCTGAACCACCGCCACCACCGTCGATCTGAAGCATCACTGACCGCCTCCATCTGAACCATCGCAGACCACCATCGATCTGAAGCACTGCCGACCACCCCCATCTGAACCACCGATCTGAACCACGATGGACTACCACCGATCTAAACCACCGCCGACAACCGTTGATTTAGTAACGTCGTTTGGCTTATATTTATATTTGGGTTGTGTATTTTTTTATTGTTTTACATATTAAATAATTATTTTGTTAAAGTATTTTTAGTTTTAAAAAATTATTTTTTTTATAAAAAGGGCATTTTGATCATTTACTAATATTTTATTCCAATTCCAAAGCTACAAAACCAAACAGACAGATTCCAATTTATTAACATATTGTATTCCAATGTCTGTGAACCAAACAAATGGTCAAACCTGCCAACATTCCATTCCAATTCCTTCAAAGTCAAATTCCTTTTAACAAATTCCATTTTATCCAAAAACATTCTGTGAACCAAGCGTCACCTTAGTGAACGAAGATTCACCAAAAACAAATCAAAATGATCCAATTTGACCAAAAATCTCAAGAACACATATGAACACCAAAACTTCTCTGTGAAAAATTTTCAAATCCAAATCTCAAAATTGATGTTCAAATCAAAATGTTTTGGTGAAAGATGTGTAGAAATCAATCACAAACAACATATTCACAATCAATTCAAGAAAAAAAAATACATAAAACCTCAACCAAATTAATGATTTTCATCAAAACCCATTTTCTTCAACTTTTCTATAAATTCTTCAAGAAATATTCAAAATTTTGTACAATTCTTCTGTTTAAGCTCTGATACCAATTAGTAATCCTTCTATGATCAAGTAACAAGTAATCCAAACAATCAAGAATAACAATTAAGCTCAAATCATATTGTTTCTCTCTCTAAACAAGTTTCTTTCTCTAGAAACTCTCTACAAGTATATGAACATGTACATCTATATAACGAGCTCTCTTTTCTACTACAAACATTAAAAAATACTTATATGAATTGACTAATACAAAGTCAAATTACAATTGCAAACATTTACTTTACATAATTTGTTGACTACTTTGACTTGGAAGCTTGACCTCTTCATTCTTCACTCACGTCTTCATACCTAACAGAAAGAACAATAGTAATAGTAAGTAAAATGTAATAACAGAGATAATATGGATTAAAATATATAGACATATCAGATAAAATAACAACTATAATTTCATTACATGATGAAGATCCGTTTGCTTTGTGGAATTCAATAGGATTTAGAGGGATTAACAATTGAATTCCATTTTAATCTCGTGTTTAATTTAAACAAAGTTTGGAATTAAAGTGTCGGGATTATAATTAATTGCCATAAAGATCGGATTTATAATTCCCATAAGGTAAGTTGGTATTTATGAGATTTTATATGATTTATTTGTAATAATGTTTTAAAATATGTTAAAAACATATTTTTTTTATAATTTCATATTTAAACTCCATAAAACCAATTGATAAATATGTTCATATTGGGTGCACTTGATATATTGAACTTGATAGAAAAAAATGGAAAATGAATCATTATCCCACATTTGACATGACTTTTGTATGGAACAAACAAAATTAGAATGAAAGAATGTGGAATAGTCGCGTTCCACCTTGGGATGGTGATTTGGCCCGACCCGGTGGGGAACCCGGTTCACCCGACCCGGACGGGGACGGGGATTCCCTGTTAAACCGGGTACCGGGGCCGGGTATAGTATCCCCCGCCCCGCCCCGTACCGTACCCGATATATATATAAATATTAAATATTTAATTATTTAGGCTTATGTTATATTTTAATTATTTGGGCTTATGTTGATATTTTAATTATTTGGGCTTATGTAATTGATATGTCAGAGTCCATCGTCTTCCATCAGTCCAATCCATACTCCATTGACTCCTCCATCCCTACCATCAGTCCATAGACTCCATACTCCATCAACATCGACTCCTCCATCCCTAAAATTCCTCTCGACAGACGACAGTCGACGACTCTCCACTCTCGTCAACACTCCAGTCTCCACTCTCCGCTCTCGTCGACTTCGATCTCTTCTACACCGTCGTCCACTCGTCCGTCGACCCTCGTGACCTCCACACTCCTGTCGGCTCACGCCTGTCACCGTCACCACTCACCAGCGTCACCGCACTCGACAGGCGACACCACAGGCCGCACTTGACAGTCGTCACCGCACTTGACCGGTTGTTGACCGGGGGTTGACCGGGGTTGACCGAAAGTTGACCGGAGACGGGGCTGGGGTCGGGGACTCTGTACACAAACCGGGGCCGGGGCCGGGGATTGCAAACCCCGCCCCGTTGCCATCCCTAGTTCCACCTTACCCCATGGAACAAGCCTACATTTTTATCAATATATTTTTGAAATCAAAACCTAAATTTCTTCTAAAACATCAAATACGTTTTCCTCATTACATTTTATTGATTGTAATTTATTCTCTTTAAATTTTAACTTTATTATACTCAAAATGCTATTAATATATGTTTTTTTATATTGTAATTAATTTATTAATTATTAATTAATAATCTATACTACCTTATCAACCAGATTTATCAAAAGGCCTAAAAACAATTTTTAATACACAAAGTACTATACATTTATGCACAAAGTCTTAAAAGTATTAAAAACAACTCATAATGCATTAAGTACTACTACTTTATGCATTTAGTCTTAAAATCTCTTAATCTACAATTAAAGTAACATATAGTACAAATTACCAATGTATATTGTTATCTTTTTTTTTCATTTTCTCAAGATACTTTTGACACCTTTCACTCATGTTTTCACCCCCTCATATATCTCTATGTCTTATCCCCATCCCCAAATGTGAGATTCAAACTGATATTTACCATTAATTATTAAAAGTTTCCTCATTCATCTCTCATTCAATTGCTCTAGAATTCTCGGTCTCGTTCTCGATCGCTTGATTCTTTGCTCTTGGTGTAAATCGAACACATTTGTGGAGTCGTTTAAATAAATTGGATTTTAAATAAATTGGATTTTAAACTGTTATATAATTTTTTTCATCGATAGACTGTAATTGGAATCATAACTCTTATTTATTCAAATTGTATTAATATTTAAAGTCATAAAGACTAAGTATAACTTATATCATCGTTAAATCTTCTCTAATAAAACCAACGAAACTTTACACTACCAAAAAAGCCGAAAAAAGTAATTTCCGGCGGATTTGGCCGCCGGAAAAAGGGCGCCGGTGATTGGTTTTCCGGCGACGTTTCCGGCGGATTTTCCTCGGTAATCCGCCGGAAAATCTTCCCCCGTTTTTTTAAAAAATCTTGATTAACTTAAGAAGTAAATAAAAAAAAATTTTAAAAAAAAATCCGGCGGAATATTCCGCCGGAAATCCGCCGGAAAAACATATATATATTAAATATTTTTTTTAAAAAAATTCCGGCAGAATTTTCCGCCAGAAATCCGCCGGAAATATAATATTTTAAAAAAGAATTATTTAAAAAAAAAATTTAGAAAAGATTTATTTTTTTAATAAATACCGGCGGATAAATCCGCCGGAAATCCGCCAGAAAAATATATAAATATATATTAAATATTTTCTTTAAAAAGATTTAATTTTTTTTAAAATACCGGCGGATAAATCCGCCGGAAATATATATATAATAATATTTAAATTTATTTTAAAATTAATATTTAAAACCTGTATTTAATACCTATATTTAAAAACTGCAAATCTGTACAATATTAAAACTGAAAATAAAAAGACGAAATAAAACTAAATATCATACATTAAAGTGAAACTWCAATTATTCCAACCAAACAAAAACTAAATTGTTTCAAAGCGAAAGACAATATTCAATATGGTGGTGGCTGGGGGAAATGTTGAGATTGACTGAGCTGTCTAACCAAAGCAGYYATATCTTGAAGTTGTCTATCMTGTTGCTCCTCCCTCTGTCGTCGTCRTTCCGCCTCCACCCGCTGTCGCTCCTCCTCCGCCAATCTCCAATTCGTAAGATATCCTCTCGTCTTCTAGACCAATCGTTAATGAACATCACTTCATMTGCATAAAATAAATGGGTTATAGAAAGATCATCATTGCCAATCTCCAAACTTTTTATTTAATTTTTGTTCTTAGATATGAGCGTGTGAAGACCTTCCATGGCAATGATAAAAAGGAAAAGGGATAGAGGATCCCCTTGATGAAGGCCTCTCCGAAACCAGAATTACGAGGTTGGAGACCTATTAACCAAAAATCATTAAAATTTACGGCTCTTGTCGTATTGCACATGTACACAACTAATAATAATATAATATAAAACTTGAACCGATGATATATGAAAATTAGCTGTAAAATCGAAACCTGAAAGGTTAACCGATGTAATTGTAAGTTTTAATTCATTAGTTATAATTATTATAATAAAATAGGCAATAATTTCGTACACTCGCTCTCTAACCTTCCAAAATATGATCTAAAAAAGCCAATTTCTGTTTTTCATAAAAAGAAATAAATCAACAGATTCACGAATCCGATTTGTGAACATAATGATTATTTCACTATTATCTTTTATAAGAAAATGATTATTTTTGTGTGATTTATAAGCTAAAAATTGACTAAACATGATCATGATTTTTCCCTTCAATTTTACTCTTTCTCCATTTATAAATTGAGTTCCATTTACGTCATTTCCTTGTTTAATTTTCAGCATACTGCTTAGCTACAATGTCCCTTTCATCTTCTTCATGTTGGCTCTTCTTCCTCATCATCATTTTCCATCTGGTTTCAACTTCTGCTAACAATGGCTGTTATACATCCATCATCAGCTTCGGGGACTCCCTTGCCGATACCGGTAACCTAAAACAACTTGCCTCCATATACCACCGTTCCTTTCCTTATTTCCGGCCACCTTACGGAGAAACCTTTTTCGGTCGGCCCACCGGTCGTTGCTCCAATGGCCGCCTCATCATCGATTTCCTTGGTAATTTTAATCTTTTAATTAACATAAAAAAGGTTCTTAATTTCAACTGGTTAATTTTCTGATGAAATTATGACAATATGCTTTTTCTTTTTGTTTTTATGACGAAGCTGAGAGTCTTGGGCTGCCATTGGTGCCACCGTATGTGGGCGGCGACACCAGGAGGATGGACGACGGAGTGAATTATGCGGTGGCGGGTGCTACGGCGTTGGGATCGAGGTTTCTTGAAGGAAGAGGGGTTTATAACAGTGTTACGAATGCATCCTTGGGAGTTCAGATAGGGTGGTTCAAACAATCAATGTCTTCCTTTTGTGCCACTGCTTCAGGTACTACTTAATCCAACATACACAAATATATACGTATAGACAAAGCAACGTGTCAAAAGGAGAGTTAGTGAGAAGCGTAAGAAGAGATCACTATAAATTGAACTGTAGAAAGGAATTGATATGATGTATCTCAATTTGAGATGCACCTCAAAAGGTGGATATCTCTTCTTAGGATTCTCATTATAACCTTCATTTACACAACAACCCACCCTCTATATATATATATATATATATATATATATATATATATATATATATATATTTCTTTTGTGGCATTGCTTCATGTACTAATTGATCCGACATACATATATAGAGGGAGGTAAGGGTGCGTGGTTGAGGGGACCACCAATACCACTATTGTGATTATCACGAATGCCACCCCACCCTCCCCTTTAACAAAAATGGAGGTTCCAATTGTTTTAAGAGATTCTATTCTAATTCTTACTAATCAATCGTGTGGTCAAATTTCAGTTCAATTTTTTCAAAGTCAAATTCCAATTCCACCAAATTTCATTTTGCGAACCAAAGGCCCCCCTATGGTTCTTAATTGGTATTTGGGTATGAAAACATGGACCTATTTGAGTCTGAGAGGCTTGAGACCGACTTTGATTTTGTTTCGTTTTGTTTTTCTTAAAGGTTCACTTTTGCTTCTGCAGAAACAAGTTTGGATAACCAAACCATTACAAATTTAGCTTTACGTCCAATATTCAGTACTTAACTACGAATTTTTGTGGAGTGGTTGTAGGTCTAAAATCCTTGGCTGAATCGGGCAGAAAAGCCTGGATTAACTGATTTGGGATTTTCCAATCTTTAGGAGGTTATGTTATACATATACCCTTACTATTGATAGACTATATGAGTAATAAGTATTCAATGGTAGAACAAAACATGAAAGTTCATACCATATATTATAATAATAGTTTTACTAATTAAAACAACAAAAATGTCTTAAAATACAAAAAGTTCTCTTAAATATAATCATTCTTATAAAATATATATAATTAGGTAAAAACTAAAACACGTATAATTTGATCCCAAAAAATTGTGGAACTCAATTCAATATCTCATATCAGTATACCATTAGACATGATCCTATGTCCTTGAGGTAGCGTCTGGTACGCGAACATAATTGGATAAGACTGGAGAGATCTAACAAGAGGATAGGACTGCACGGGACATAATTGAACAAAACAAGTGTCTGTCTGGTGTTTGGTACAACTAGGACTGGATATGACAGAACTAAACAAGTTGCCTCCAAAAGTTATTTGATGATTTTTGTATCATATAATAGTTATAATTAACACAAATAAGTAAATAATTTAATTTATAAATATTTTTACACAATTTTCATATCATTAAATACATACATATATAATAGTACCAAATTTGAATGAAAAATTGATATAGTTGATGGTAGTAAAAGTGATGGATGTAGTAGTGTTTATGGTGGAGGTCGAGGTGGTGTTGGTTATGGTGGAGGTGTTGGAGATGGTACCAGTGGTGGTGGTGGTGATAGGCGGTGGCGGTCAGTTGCCGACGGTGGTTGTGGAGGTAGAGGCAGTGATGGTTCGTGGACGACGGTGGTTGTGGAGGATGTGAAGATAGTGGATAATGGGAAATGATGGGTAGTGGTAGTTGATAATGGTGGTGGTTATGGTGGAGGTAACGTGGCAATGTACGATGGTGGTTAGTGTTTGAAAATAGTTTTGGAGGTGGTCATCCTAAAAAAAGTTATCCACATTACCTCACCAATAGTGACACCTGATTTTATAAAGCCTCCTGAGTCCTTGGATTGATCGTCACGTCCTATCTTAAAAAGAACTTGGAAATTTCTGCACAGTTTTGCTGTAGAAATGCCAGTATCTACAACAATATGATTTTCCTGCAAAGATTCAAAGCATGGGGTAGTGACAGTCTTGACATTTTGTTGCACCTCTTCATTATTATGAAGTGAAATTGGGTTGCTCAATCAGTTGTTTTCTCTGAACTCCCAATAACTTGACTATTTTTCAAAATATTAACCTCATTCTCATCCTTACCAACACAATTATATTTTTCAATTTCACTTGGTACAAGAATTTGTATTTGTCTTTCATCCTCACTAATGATCTTTCCAACATAAGTTGTGATGTTGGCAATAGATATGTCTCTCAGTGAGGTTTGCATGTTTAACATATTTTGTGTACTTTGCATGTTATCATTTATCATAGTTTGCAAGTTATCTTTCATCATAGTTTGAAAACTTTTATAGGAGGTCATTCATCATAGTTTCAAGAGATTCAGAGAATGTAGGGGATAAAAATGAGTTGTTAAAATCATCCCCTTGAAAACTCCCAGAAAAATCAACTTGTTCCTTCCAAGATTGGTAAAAAGTATTTGAATAAGTGTTACTCCAATCTTGGCAGGAGGTGCTTGTGATGTGAAATGGTCGTGATTTTGACTATTTAAAAAAATTAGGATGCTCTTCCCATGATTAAGTGTAAACATTGAAGTGTGAGGTATCCCAATTACTATATCCCATGAAACAACGAGATTCAGGGTTCGAAGGACAACTGCACGAGAAATGATGTTTACCACAATAGTCATAGGAAATAGATCCATATGGCCCAAACGATTGCCCCTTTGGATCTATATTCATAGAAAGATAAACTTCCAAAATCTTTTTACTTGTACATACATGGAGATGTATGACAAGAAACAAAGATGGTAGAAAAACTAGCTTAACAAGACTCAATCTCTAAACAACTATTAGATTTACGCCTATCCGCAGCAACGATGCAAAAAACTTGATGGGGGCTAGATATTGTATCTCTACGACACTAAGTGGTAACACATGGAAGTATACACGTGTCAACACTATTGCCTTCAAGTAATAAAATGGTATGTACCAAGTATCGTATTCCATAGGGGTAGATAACTTAAGTTGCAAGATCTCGAGTTAAAAGACTAACTTCATAGAAAGAATTTGAAGACTTTGATTGGTTATTGAGTTAACAATTGTAAATAACATAATAAATAAAGGTACCATCGGTGTAAGACTTGTAGTGAGACATAAAAACAAATTCCAGCAGACAATGTTGTAGGGATGCTACAGTATGTAGTCAGCCATAACTAGTTCCACCATTTATTTTGAGGGTATTCCTTCTGTACTTCACCATTGCACTAATGTTTAGCTTTCAACCCATATTCTTATGTGGTATCAGGACTAGTGATAATGGTGTTCTCAAAATATATGGATTAGCAAATCCCTTCCGAGCAGATTTCCATATAATTCAAGTTGGTGTGTTATTAGTGGCTCACTTCTGAGTCCACTACACTTTAACACTTCGATAAGTGATCAACCTGTCAAGAATTATCAATTTGAAAAACATAAATGACAATTTCCTTTTATTAGTAACTTTTCCAACTCTAATTCCCGTATCATTTGAATTGACGTGCATTCAATGGCTCGTTCCTGAGTCTACGACATTTTAACACTTTCAAAGTGATCAACTCATCAAGAAGTCTTTTTGGATTTACTAAAACTTGAATGAAATAGTGGAACATTGTTATTGTGAAACAACGTCCACTTCCTTCAGTTTATAATCTCACCCCTTATCTTACACCCAAGCTAATGACTTAGCTACTCATTACAAAAAGTAAATTACAAGAAATGTAAATAACATAAATTAAAGAAATAAAAATGAATTGAAAGTGAAGTGCGGAAAGTCAGTGACTTGAAAGTAAAGAGCAAGAAATTAAATGACTTGAAAGTAAAGAGTGGAAAGTAATGAACAAACTCGAAAGTAATTACGAGACTTACTATTAAAATTGCTTTGAATCTTAGAGAAAAATCAGTTTACAACTGATTTTTAATTCTTAGAAACTATGATCCTTCCTCCCTATTTATACACATAGAGGGGCCAAATAAGATAAAAATGGAACTTGGGGACAAAGTCATTAAAAAGTCAACTAGACTATTACATCAATCCTAACAAGTGATTAGCAGCCATGGATCTTCCCAAAAGGTCTTCCGAGCGTGGTCTTCAAGCAACAAAACGTCTGCCCAACAACTTAGTTCATTAAGCACTTCAAAAAGCCAAAAACTACCAGATCCATGTTGTAGGAATTTCATAGCACCAAACAGCTTGTGCACAAGTTCAAATTAGCTATCAAATGGTGTAAAAACAAGTAAATTATACTTTTAGCTCCATAAATAATAAAGGGGAAAATAAAGTGATTAAAATAACTGAAGATTAGAATAAAAGGAAAATAAACTAGCTAAAAACTATAAAACGAATGCTTTATACATTGAATTCTCAATGCACATCAGCAATCGACAGTGGCTATAAGTGGCCACAGGTGGTGATGGCGGCCGATGGTGGTAATTGTCGCGATGGTGACCATTAAAACAAATAACATATTAAAAATATATATCAAACAAACATAGATTAGTAATATTTTAGTTTATGTCTCATTCTTGTCCCATCTTGTTCCATCTACATTGGTGGAACAAGAAAAAAAACCTTTTTGTCCCATTTTATCCCTGTCCCTGTCCGATGTTGCACCAAATGTGTGATAGTGAGTTCTTGTTTTGTCCCATGTTGCACCAAATGTGAGACAATGAGTTTTGTCCTGTCCTGTTCTGTCCCATGTACCAAACGCAGCGGTCTGGTCCTTCCATGTCCATACCATGGACCAAATTTTGTTTTTAGGCATTTTGTACTTCTCTATGTATCACATAAAAGCTTATATTCAACATATTTTACGTCACATATATTATATTAAAACCAAAATGATTTAATTTTCACTATTTTATTTTTCTTGTATGTCTAGTAATTTATTGGAATATAATGTTGTCATTTGTACTCTGTGAGGACTTTAATGTTGTATTTTCTTACTAAACTGTTGACAGGCTGTAAAGATTTTATTGGACGGTCCCTAATTCTCGTGGGAGAGATCGGAGGAAATGATTACAATCATCCATTAATTCTCGGAAAATCCATAGAAGAGGTTGAATCATATGTACCGTTTGTTGTTAGTACCATCGTGTTAGCAATCAATGTAAGAACCCATCGAAAAATTACACAATCGTTCAAATATCTTGAATATATTATAGTTTAAATTCAAAGTGTTCCTTAATTATGTTATCATGGCATAACTTGAGGATGGTTCGAAATACAGGATCTAATAAATCTTGGAGCAAAGACGCTCGTTATTCCAGGAAACCTACCAATTGGTTGCTCTGCCGCATATTTGACAATCTACTATGGTTCTGACATAAAAGAGTATGATAACACGACTGGTTGCCTCATACGATTAAACAAGTTTGCCGAATACCACAATGAGTTGCTGCAAAGGGAATTAAATCGAATCCAAGACATTAATCCTAATGTGCACATCATTTATGCCGACTACTACAATGCTGCTATGCAGTTCTACGTATCTCCAAGCAAATATGGTACTTAACATTTCATTTTTAGGCATGCCATGGTCATTTCCAAAAGCTTATAAATTTTCAAAGCTTTGGAATGAAGAAGGCAAAAATGTGTAAACAAAAAAAAAGACAAAATAAATCCATTTGGGATGCATTAATTTTGCTCATGGGTTTAAAAGGCTTTCGAATGTATATTATAGGATTCAAAAATGGAGTTTTGAAGGCGTGTTGTGGAGGAGAAGGTCCGTTTAACTGTAATCCTTCAGTAGCATGTGCAAATCCATCATATATGGTGTGTGCTCAACCAGATACATATGCTAATTGGGATGGCATGCACTTAACGGAGGCAGCATACAAGTTGATTTACAAGAGCGTATTTGAAGGATCATGCAGTATACCACGATTCAATTCATTATGCCCTTCTCTAACGTTGCACAAGAGGGATTATGGAGCTTTTTAGAAGAAGTTGATGCAATTTGTTAGGTTTATTTGAACCTTTAATACAAATGATTCTATTTTGTATTTACATAGAATGTTTTACAATATATTTATAAGCCTATCTCTATCGGATTATAAAATATTTACCTCATATTCTTGTTCTCTTCAAAATTTAATATTACAATTTATTGAAGTACTGTATGTTTACATCTTCATAAAGTTTCACATTTAAATTTTGTAAACTAAATGATTAATGCATTCAAATACAATATAAACGTTAAATACTATTAAGATAACCTACTATTCTATAAATTTCAATTTTTCATTTTAAAAAAAATACTATACTAATTTCATTTATTTAATATATTTTACTACAAATAAACCAAAATAGATTTTATAAATCCCGACAACATATGTTTTTATAAAGGAGGTTAATGACACCTCTGACCATTGTTAAAGGCACCCATAACCCTCTATCCCATCATTAATTTCTTTTATTTAATTTATATTTTGTTCCATATTTGTCTTTCTTGTCTTGTTATTTAATTTATTTATATTATATTTTATTTGTTTCTAAATTATTAAAGTTTTCATTTTTTTTAATTTTTTTTCTTTTATTTATTAGTACTATATTTTAATTAATATGAATCATTAATAAATATTTATTTTATAATATTCCACTATATTATTTTAATCAATATAAACTATTAATAAGAAATAAAATATTTTTTATATATTTTAATAAAGATGAATAATTTATATAATATTTCACATATTTTAAAATTACATTATCTGTAGTGGTGACGAGATGAAAGAAGATGTATATGTGTGTACATTTGAAGAAATAAAGAAGATGTAATGAAGAAGAGGTGAAGAAGAAAGTGATATATATACATATATCTTTATATATATATATACACATATATCTTTGTATATATATATATATATACACACATATATAAAGGAGTGATCAAATGCAAACCATCCTCATCCGTCGATTTCATTGTTTAATTTTATGAAATTTTTTCATTAAATTTTTTTAATCTTGTGAAATTGTTTCATATAATACTTTTTTTGATAAATTTGTTTCATATATGGTTATGAAAGTGTTTCATATAATACTTAATGAATTTTTAATGAAACTGTTTCATGTATTTCTCTAAAATTAAAATAATGAAGATGATAATATCCATGATTAACACCCTACACAATAAAAATGATTAATCAACCTCTCATAATTACAAAAAAATGAACAAATGAAAAATTATGATTGGTTGAATGAGGTTTGTACGGTTTGTACAAATAACGTGGTTTGCAAAGTAAACCTCCTGTACACACACACACACACACGGTTGGGGTTCCGACGAGAAAGAGATTAAGGTGAAAAGCGTAAGAAGGGATCTCCACCCTTGATTGCACATTAGGATGAGATGCACCGAGATATATCGGATCAATCCTATATGGGTTTTATAAAAGTGTTTTGGTGATTTTCACTCTGTAATAGCAATCATAGGGATTTCTCACTATACCTCATGGTCTAACCCTCATTTTGGTATTTTAAAAATGTGCATTACAAATCGGGCATAATTGAATGATAAGGGGAAGGGAAATTATGAAGAAATATATGACTGCTTGCATGTGGATTTTGGGATGATGGGATATTGTTATACATGAATACTTGTTATATTTACAAGTCTTGTATAGGGTTTACGTGGAAAAATTTGGTAGCTACTTTTGTAATGAAGCTTTTGTAGATATTGGGACCAAATGTGTAAATTTGTATTTCATGATATATGAAATATGTGGTTATATGAAAATGTGATTCTGGAATGTTACATATCTTGAGATATAAACGTACAAAGATTTGCTCCAAAAGATATGTAATTATATGAAATGAGATTTCTTGGATGTTTGAACAAATTAGGAGCAATATAGTGTTGTAGTTCTTGAAAAGTGTTGTTTGGAACTTAACCCAACTTACGAACTTTATATGTGGTATTTGAGCCCTAGTTGTCATAATTGCATAAATCTTTGATAAATACTTTCAATTGGATTTGTAAGATCTTTAAGATTGCAAAACATGTGGTTTTGGGTCTTTTGGCCATTATGCTTTCACATAGTATTGATATATGGACCTATTCATGTTACGGGTGTCATGCGTGTTTTAAACGATTGAAAAATATGTGTTTTTGGCTTATGTGGATATTACTTACCATATTCAAATAGTTAAGTGTTTTACGGGGTCTTTTTGGCTTGTTAACTCAAATGAGTTTTTAGAGCATTTGTCTGGTTTAATGCCCCAATGTGGAGCCTTCGACATATAATACATTATTGCATATTTGTTGATTATTACATGTCTTAAGTGCATTAATCGTTCAGTTGGTGTCATGTAATTTTAGACTTTAATGGATTGGATCCATAGGCATAAGGGTCTAGCATGGAGTTTTGATGTCCACACTTAATGTGCTAGTGAGTGGTCCCCAAGTCATGGTAGTGAGCTTGCGGTGATACCCTATTGGGTTGTATACAGAGCTACAGTCTGCGATGATACTCGGTTGAGTCGTATATGAGGTTAGGTCTTGCGGTAGTGCTTATTGGAACCATATACTAAGACTAGTGACTTTTGTGGTGAGACTCATCTAAAGGTCAAGTAGACACTAGGGTCATCAGGGGAGTCTTGCGGTGGTGCTCATAGGAGCCGTAAACGGGGGTCCATGGCCCTAGGTGAACTTCGAGAATGTTGATAAGTGGCTTAACTTTGTGTTCCCGCCATATTGATGGAATTGGATCTCCTCCGTCAACGCAAGATGTTGTTTTCGGGTACTTCGTTACCCATGCTTTCGGTTTTTATAAATATGGTTTTGACTACTCAATCGGTGTTTCATCTTACGGATATTTTGAGTGAGTTGGGCATTTGATATTTATTTAATATGGTTATATGAGTTGGAAGCAAATGAGATTTGAAAAAATGTCCTTTTGATACTTTATGTTTTAAAGGAAGGATCGTGGGATAAAGAAAAAATATTAATTTTAACTGTTTTATGCCTTATATGATAAAACTATTTTAACTGACTAGGCATTAAGCTAAATAATTTTCTTTAACGACATGTATATCAGGTCTTAGAGGGTTCTGAGTTGCGGTTGGAGCGTTGTAGAGATTCCAGTAGGATGGCTTAAAGGCGTTATCCCGTTTTGAAGATAACAGATTTGGTGATACTAGTAATACCTAAATTATTCTGATTTTATTTAAGAATTAGATAGTCTATTTAAAACTCCTGATATGTATCGCGTTCTCCTATTGGATAAACTTTATGTAGTTTTTATATTAAAGTTGTTTTGTATTTAAAGAGTTTTAAAGTTTTATATTTTCTGTTATTTTCTAAATTTTAAGGCCGTTACAATCTCGGTGCATCTCACCCAAATGTGCATCCAATAGTGGAGATCTTTACTTACGCTTCTCATCTTCACTTTGCTTCTCATCAAAATCCAATCCTATTTATTTAATACTAATAATAATATTAACATGAGCTATATATAATAATACACATAATATATAGGAGATAAAATATATAAGAGATAATATATATATATATATATATATATAACAATAATAATAATAATTTAACATATTATGTAATAGATTTAGACATTTAATCGCTTTGATCGTTTTTTCGTTCTCAATGTATTCAACACCCCTATTGAGTATTTCTAATTCATAACCTATTCAATAACTCGCTATATTCGTTACATCAGCTTTCCACTCACTTATGTTAACAATAACATATTCTTAAAAGCCTTTTCCTTTGCAATGAAAACTTTTTATTATTTAAAATTTAACATTTATCCCCTTCTATTTAAATTTTCTTGTAAAACCATATCTTAAAGAACCATCACACAACATTTTATTATATGCTTCTTGTTTTCATGTCTTCCATGCTTTACCTTTTAATTTTCTTTTAAAATGAAATTTGTATTTTTATTAAAAAGACTAAGGGGTCGTTTACCAAACACTTACCTGGTAAATGCTTACCGGTAAAATTTAACACTATTATTTATTTGACGGGTAAGAGTTTAGTCCATCAAAACGACATCGTATGCAACAATTTACCCGGTAAGCGCTTACCGTGGTAAGAGTCGTCGCTCTCACTTACCGGGTAAGACTCTTGGTCATTATCTCGTTCTTACCGGGTAAGATTTTTTATTCTTACCATATTCATCCGGTGAGGTAATATTACTTGGTAAGCGTTTGGTAAACAGCCCCTAAATATTAAATTTTATTGAAACAAAAGGATAATGACAAGGATACAGAAAAATCAAAAAAAAAAATGAAAGATGGTGAAATATATCATATGTTTTTTATATTTTCTTAGATACTTTGTATTGGTGTCATTTTTATCGTCTTGAGGAGAATTTTTTAATAATAAATTTTGTTACAAAAATACACTTATTAAGTGAATTAGATTAATTGATCAAAATTTATTAAGGTTTAAAAGAAAATTACATCGAAAAGATGAACAAAATGGAAAATTAAAGGGGTAAAACGAAAATTAGTTGTACAAAAGTCATCCAAATGACCGGTTGAAGAAATCCCACCTTTTCTTCAAAAACCTTTTGACCTCATTGACACAATAATTAGCTAATCATAAAAGTAAAACACATGTAAAAGGTTTATATCATCTTTAACAGTTTTTTTTAAATAAAGAAAATTAATTTTTTGTTCTCTATAATATTCTAATAGCTTCTTTATAATGTTCTTTAAAATAGAGAAAACATAAAAAAACTTGAAGTTTAGAGAATTTTTTAGAACTTGATATTAAGAGAGACAAATGATTATTTTATTCAATCCCATCAATATAATTGATTATTAATATTTTGTAAAAAAGATTCTTTTTAAGAGTGTATTGGGATGATAAATTAGAGAATATTATAATAATATAATTTATGTTAAAAAATCTCTAAAATAGAGAATCTGTTCGAGATGAATGTAATTTTTTTAGAGATTTTGACTTTTAGTTCTCTATTTAAAAAAATTATAGAGAATCTGATGGAGATATTCGAATGCTCCAACAACTTTCTTATCTCATTTTCTAAAATAGAGAATCATGGAGAAAAATTTCCAAAAAATATAAAAAATTCTCTAAAAAGCCAAAGAAAATTAATCT